CAGTTATTCAGTGCTTTTAGAACTGTTAATCAATTGTTCAGATAAATTCATCCATGAATTTTTTACGTCGACGTAATTTTAAATAGTCATTAATAATAAAAACTTAAAAAATTGCATGTGCGACGAAATTTTCGATGAGAAAATATTACTTCCAGATCAATTTCAGAAAACAATTTCTAAAATTCAATACAAAAATCACGAAGGATATTGATATATCGATATCTCGCGATGCGCATCACATCGTTTTCGCTCACAATCAGTAAACTGGAGCAAACGATGCCGAGATCACAAATGGGTGCAGTTTAACACATCCGTTCATTGTTGCTTCCCGAGACCAATAACAACCTACCATTGTTTCCGCCATAGATATTCGCCAATATCTCTAATTAATTCATTCTCAAGCGGCCGTGCTTTCGCAAACGTACCGTCATCCAATCAGCATCAATAAAAAATTAATCGGAAAAGTATGCATTAGTTGGAAATAAATTCGCTTGTTTTCATAAATGTACAGAGTATAAAAAATTCAAGATTGATATGCAGTATAAATATACAAAAACTATGCAAAGGCATTGTGTCGAGCGAACTCATATATTTCTGTCACATCAGAAAAAAACGGATTCGTTCCGAGATTTATATCTTTCTCCAACAATAAGAATAATAGATATATCCGAAATGCTCTGCCACGAAAATCTGGCGTAGAAATGAAGGAGTGTTGCCGGGGGATAGGAAAAATTGATCGAGAATTTCGCGCATTCAGGAACTTTTGTTGCGAGTTTTGTACGATTACGTCTGCGTCGGTAGAAAGACGCAAGGAATTGGGTTACGAGTGTAACGGCGAGTTAACTCTTTATAAGGCCATTCCAACTTCGCAGTTGCACGCTGGCATTGTCCTTATTTTCGATGTAGTATCACGCGGCTCGTAGAAACGTCATATTGCGTTGTTTTAAGGAGCTTCTGGAGTATTAAGGACGAGACTCTACGAGAGTATAAATAATAATTAATATATTGCAATCTCTCAGCAAACACGCGTAAAATTGATTTTATGAGAAGCTACAAATCTCTCTCCGATGCTCTCTATTCGAATAATATTGTTATATAGGTTTTTGCGTAACGACGTATTAAACATTGCTTTAAAAGAAAAAAGGAACTAAGTTTTTTTTTTTTTCGATTGAGCGATACGATCATGATAGCGTGATTCGGCGAACGAACGAACGAACGACGTGAAAAATTCAGCGTTCGTATTTGGAAAAGCAATTGGAAATCCGGAAAAATTGCCGACCTACGATCGTCGGAAAAATCCCCGGCTCCTAAATTCGAAACGAGAAACCCGAGATAAGCGGCAGGATCAAGTACGAGCGGAAAGACGAAACTCATCGCGAAGTAATAACTACCTGAGGCGATCTCAATATTTGATTTCTGTCGATGATCGCGATCCGCGACGGGATATCCTTGATAATACAGGGGCACCACGACACATCCGCCGACGTATTTCTGGAACAAACACGCCGTATATATCTCGATCGAAAAAGTAAGCATCCATCTTCGTATCCTGTTTCATCGATGAAAATCGCAGGAAAACATCGGCGCGGAAAAATACGGTATTCTAATTGAAGGGTTCGAGGATGAGAGAGAGTGAGCACAAAAATATCCGTATGCTTGTACGATATTATATATACAGCCGAGCAATTCTATTCCGGATAATGCGACTCGATTTACAAGCCGTTTACATTGGAAAGTCTGAACTATAAATCCAATTTTTTCAAACACTGCGCTATTTAATCGGACGCGATGTATTGATTTTATTGCGACTGGCTACTCTCGAGCGAGATGTAATTATTCTATTTTTCAACAAGCGATTTCGTATCATTTTACGCGAGTTCTCTCGTCAGCCTCCTCCTTCCTCTCTCGAGATTTCGTCGGAAAGCAACCTTGCAATTCCGCTACACTCACGGTTGCATTCGGTGGAAAGAGAGAGAGACACGACATGGCGCAAAAATATTATATCCGATACCGATATGTCGCGCGATCAGATAAGGGGACCCGCTGACTCGGTCGTTTTTCTGTAGCGATGGAATCGCGGTCTGCCTTTATTTTCGCGGCTCCTCTCGGAGGGGATGCGGCATTCTCTCTTGTCTTCGTCCCTCTTTGCAGAGAAGCGACACTCGAGATGATCGCGAAGAATTCCTCGGGCATTCCCGGAGTGAGGAAGTAAGATCGTCTTTGGCACAGATCGGCGACTTTGACAGCGCGATCGATCAGCTTCGAAAAATTTTAGTTATCTCGGACTACTATCGAAATACATTTTTATCAAAATTACGTCCACTCTTCGTAATTTATTTTATTCCACTGGACAATAATAATATATCTTCAAAGTGAAAGTAATAAAAGTTCTAATACATATAATCCGACTGCGAGCTTCAAATGGCGCTGATGGATTAATTATTCGTTTATTCCGTTGCGTAATATAAAAACAAATCGGTACATTGAAAAAAAAAGGAGAATGCTTTTTATTTTATTACACTGGACAATAATAATTCGAGACATTATATGTTTATACGTCAAATATCTTCAAAGTGAAAGTAATAAAAGTTCTAATACACATAATCCGACTGCGAGCTTCAAATGGCGCTGATGGATTAATTATTCGTTTATTCCGTTGCGTAATATGAAAACAAATCGGTACATTGAAAAAAAAGGGGAATGCTTCTCTCTCTGGGTAAAAAAAAATTAACTGATAATCCGTTAGCCGAAAATAGCGCTTAATTCGGCGTTACGTAACGCGGGAGAGGGAATTCGATTTACCGCGAGCGAATATTTACGAACACGTATGCCGTTTATCCACGTGGCATCGAGCAATAGCCTCGATAGGCGAGAGAAGTGGCCGCAGCGAATTATGCACGCGCGGGCAGACGATGAGATCGCATCGCAACGAGAGAGCCCGCCGCCCGAAACTGATGCACGATAATAATACGATCAGGTGGAAAATCGAACCCCGACGATTGTGTGTTAACCGCTGATTGTCGATAACGCGCACCGCGAGATTTCGAAGAAGCGATGACAATAATAGGGGTTAATCAAGCACGTATAATCGAGGAACGCCGATTCCGAGTGAAAGCATTTCCACTTATCATCCTTTAAACAAATGCATGTGATAAATAAATTGTAAAAATGTGTTTAAAAGTTTTCATTTAAGGAGAACGCCTGCTTTAGAAAGTAAGGTATTTTTTAGATTTTTTTTTTTTTTATAAAAATTGCATTGATCATTCTAAAATTTGTTATTAAATATTTATAAACAAAAAAAAGTTTTTTTGGTTAAAAATATGGTTTGCCAAATCTCGTTTGACATTTAAATAAAAAACTAAACATTTTTTATTTATGAAATTACATCCTCGATGAATTAATAAAATAAAAAAAAAGAAAATTGACAATAAGGATTTGGAGATATGAGAATGCTCGTCAATTTGCAACTCTGACGGCGAGAAAAGATTCTTCAAAGGCAATCTTGACAGTCTATATTTTTAACTAAAAAATTGTATACTTATAAATATTTAATAATACTTCCTTTTTCGAGAAAAATTACATGCGCAAATTCAATGTTTCAAAAATCTCACATTATATCAAAATGCATTTTGTAAGAGTTGCTGTGTATATTTCTCTTATATTGAAAACAAACAAAATATGTTACGAAACCAATATTTCTTTTACACTCATGCAAAGGAAATGCATACTGAAACAAATTCACGCAAAACTCTGAGGAATAGTGCGATGAAATTTCTTTCTTTGAAGATCTGCTGCTTAAAGGATTAAAGGCGGACGATTTTCAAGTTCCAGAGTTAAGGATGTCACTATACTTTTTTTTTTTTTTTTTACAGCAACCAGCATACTTCTATCTTCATAACCGCGTCGAACAAATACTGCGTTATTGCTTCCCTTTATTCCCTCTAGGAACTTAAAACGCTCTCGGCGAGTTCAGACATGAACAGAGCGAAAAATTCCGGTGGCAAGTTTGTACTCCAGTAGTAGTTTTCACCCATCTAGAGCTTCGGAAGGCTTTATTTTCGCAGATTATCGAGAAACATAACTGCGCGTATCAATGACTATTAACGAAAGCAAAAACGCCTCAATAACAGGGATGAGGAGGAATTTGGAGTTTAGATCTTCGCGACCTCGTCGGTTGCCATAAATTTCATGTTGCGCTTAAAAGCAGATCGCAACACACTCCCGTAATCTCTTTTCTTCGGGTTAAGCCCGTACCGGGGACGGCGGCTCTATCGCGCAATCTATTTCCGAGTTAATTACCGGCGAAATAAAGAAGTAGGTCGGATTGTCCTACAATGGGGTAACGGAATACCGGCGCGCGGGAAAATTGCGATAACGAGCCGCCGAATTTAATTCGAGTCCGACTCGGGAACGCAAACATTCGCAACATTTTTTTTTTACGATCGCGGGCGTAATAATTAAATGCAGTAATTAACTGTACCTTTGTATTCAACATTTTTGCATGCGCGGTTCGAGAAACTGGGTGCGCACAACTTTTTTCCACTAATTTCGAATATATAACATATATTTACACAGAAAAAAATACCTACGTATATACAGGTTCGCTTTAATGGAATGGAGGTTTTTCCGTTTCAATTTCGGGAATAAAAACTTATTTTTTTTTCTTTTTCAATACATATAAAAGGACTCGTTCTTAGTTTTCCCAAATATCGAAACACATGTTCATATCGCAAAGTCTATTTGCTCCAACGAAAAGATTGATATAAAGTTCATTCTCATATAGAAAAATAAATTTCCTTATATTATTCCATCTCAGAGTGAATCTCGTATTAATCTTCCTCCGAGGAATAACACGGGGTGCATTTATCACGACAAAAAAAAAAAAAAAAAAAAAAAAAAAAAGAAATAGCGCGAGATAAGCGCGACAAGTAAATCTCGCGTGCTTTGTGCCGCGGAGATTGTCCTGCGCCTTTCGGGCTGAATAAATCGCATTCACCTACCGTGATCTTCAAGTCCCGCGGGTCGCATGTGTCGTATCGCCTGCTGAAACGGAGCACCGTGTGCGTCTTGTTCTCGTAACCCAGTAACAGCCGGTAATCCTGACTCGAATCCATCTGCGGATCCCTGCTGGTGTCCTTCACGTGCCGATCCTGAAAACAAGCGACAACGACTTGACGTTAGAATCCGTGCCAGCGGCGCTGTAAAGTATAATGCATCGTCGCGAAATCCGAAAAGTCAGATCGATCGTTGCGATAGAGAGACATTTTCTCGAAAAGAGAGATTCGTTAGAATAGAAAAAAAAAAAAAAAATGTTTCGCGTTCGGAATATCTTTTTATCATTGAATAAATTTTTCAGCACACACGATTTTTGACGTGAGCGCAAAATGAGAAGATACAAAAATGCACTGCCAATAATTCTCGAGTTTTTATTATGAGGAAGTAATATCGACAATATCGGATATTCCAATATTGAAGCTTCATAACAAATGGATTAATATTGCTTGACATATATTCGACGAATATTCGTCGAAAATTTTAATATCGGATGACGTGTCATCCGATGCACGTATATACTACATATATACGTGGAACATTACACTTTACTTAACGAATCGCGAATGCTGCAGTTCATTGACACTCGCAGCCGGTGTGAATTTTTTTTCCTTTCAATTCTAATAGACGACGACTTGCTACGTCTTCAACGAGCAAAGCTCCTCCTCCTCGGTGCCGACTGACAGGCGGAAACGCGTCATGATAACCGGCATGATTATTTCATCCTGTATTAAATTTACTCCGACTCGTTACCGTTAAGCAGTTAACCAGCTGATTGGCCGTACGTAAATGAATAGAGGCAATTTGCTCACGACCGATAGTTCGAAAGCGTCGTGTTTACAACCAGCTTCATTCTGTTCTCGCGCGCGAATGACGCGAAATTGGATACACCTCTCTTGCAATAATAATAATCGATCTCCTCTCGCGAACGACGATCGTGGGACCAGGCGTTCGCGCCTTCCCATGCGTGACTATTCGCATTTACAGTTAGGCGACGTCGAGGACTGGGTCCTGCGATCTCTCGCGTGAAAATATTAATTTATTATCCCAGGCATGATGCCCGCCGGCAAACACATAGAGCTGCATTTTCTCTTTCTTTTTCTTCCCCTCTCTTTCCTGCTAATTCGCTCCACTTTTCACCCGCTATACGATTAACACTCTAAGCTTCGGCCCGGCTAACTTGGCATTTAAATCGCCAAGTTCGTTTTTTTTCGTGATTTATATACCGAGTTAGTATCACCACTGGAATTACAGTGCCAACAATTTTTTTCTTTTATTTTTTTCCCACCTTCTTTACCAGAATAAAAAGTGCGGCCTAAGTTTTTCGCTTCTACTCATAGTAGCAATTTTTTCTAATTTAACGATGCAATGTGAGTTTATCTTGATCGTCGACTTTGAAATTTATTTTTCTCGAGATTTAATGACGCGAACATTCTTGGTCTTGATATTTCGCGCGCACTTAAGAGGGAGAAACCTTTCTAAGCCGATATATGAAGTACAAGTATACTTTAACGTTTACTGCAAAATTTTATACGGATATATTATCTCGCGAGATTGAACAAAACGAAACGCCGTCGTCGAGAAAAAGCGCCAGTCAAAGAAGGCAGAATTATCGATACAACGTGCATTATAAAAATATTCCACCAGATTATTATTTTAAATCAGAATTTTACGAGACGGCGTACTATGCTCTTGACATGATCGACTACAAGAAGTCTCGGAATGCCTCTTAAAAAGTGCCGGCAAGAAGATACGATAAAGAACCTCTCGCTTCCATTGCGCCATAAATTTGGACATTATAAAATTGAATGGATAAGCCTCGTAAAATGTCGATTGTTATTATCGTTTAAAGAACAGAGTGAAAAATAAGCCGCTAAAGCGCCTTACGCTTTAAGTATTTACCTTCTTCCGCACTCCTACTAGTAAAGAAGGAGCAAACTGCTGAATAATCCGAAAATGCTGAATAATAATCGGCGCGCGCTGAATAATCGGATACAGCGGTGACTTTAAATTTTTGCTAATTTCCTAACGCTCGGTCGCTTTGTTCCGAATACCATCGGTTCCCTTTTTATCGCGAGGCGCATCAATTTCTTGCACGATACCGATATTAGAATGCCATTCTATCGTCTTACAAAGAAACGGCCGTCGTTGAAGCAAAAACGAGCGTCGCGCCTGCTTCGCCTTTTCCCTTCGCCGATCGAGTTTCTCGTTCGCTACGAAGATCGTCGAACCGAGACGACTATGCGGCACAAAGGGCGAGACTGAATGCAAAAGTTAAGGCAAATTTACACGGTAGACTCTCGACGACGTAGAGATTCGAAAATTGAAATAAATCGCGTGAATTCGATTGTTTACGAAACATTATTCCGTCCGTTGTTGGACGATAAACTAAACAACGTCGTTCTCCATCGTTATCATTCGCTTTGGACGGTATCGGAATAAATCGTGCAAAAAAAAAAAAATAAATAAAGTGAGCTGCAGGATTTTATTTCCAAACTGGAACTGTAGACTATTATTTGCATGGGAATGCTGTGCGATTTTCTCGATCGAGCTTCTTTATTGAACTGATATCACACGCAATAACAATACAAATTGCAAGTTTCGCATTCGAAGTGAGAAATTACAGAGTTATGAAACGCGAGATGAGAGAACTGAAAGTTGGAAGTTGGGAACTCGGAGCTCTCTGAGAGAATGAGACAGAGTTTAGGGAACCGACAGTTTACTCAGTCGAGAATTGAGAGTTTATAGTTGACGTTTTAGATGTGTACAAACTCTCTCGACATATCTACATTCATGTACTGTTATGATATAAGTGTAATACGTATAATTGAATTATTATACAAATTGTGTGTATACAGGAAAAAATCTGTATGCGCCGCGTTCTTTCTCTCTCGCGCATTAAACCCTTTATTTTTTTTTTTTTTCAGTAGCGAATACCCGCGTCGGATCAGCCGCGGAATCGGGTAGCCCACTTTTGGCGCGGATACACATTCGGTCGCAAAAAAATCAAACGCGTTCGTCCAATTTATTTTGGATGATTCATCCGTGGTAATCATCGGGAGCGAAGCGTGTAAATTCGCCTTTAGTTAGGCGATTGCGAGCGAGCGCGTTCTGGGGATTTCTCTCTCGGGTCCCCCTTAAAAGGGCGAAAGACAAGTTTTTCTGGCGAGATTCCGTGCCGTCGCCTCGATATATAATTATCGCGGCGCGGCTGTTACTTCGGAAAGAAGAAGAAGAAGCGCGCCGACGCCTTTCGGGACGACTTTCGAAGCCATTGTTCCATTGTGAGGATCACTCGGCCTTGCGCGGCTTTCCAGTGTGGCTTTATTAAAATTTCATTTAGCCGCGTACCTGCGCGTGCTGCGTGATTCCCGACGAGTCACGCGTGTTATGTCGCTCCTCTACCCGGTGTACACCCCTTTCCATCTCCACACATGCATCCTTGTCCCACACCTCCTCGCTCTGTTTCTTTTTCCTCCGACTGACGTTCTCACCTGGGGCCAAAGCGTCGTCTTTGAGGCCGTCAAATTGCGCGAAACGAGAGAGAGAGAGAGAGAGAGTAGAGAAAGAAGGAAGACTGAGTGCTGAGATGAAATTAAAACACGTGCGTCTATGATGAACTAAATCGATTATTATTAAGTAATTAAAATGATTCGTCACACAGAAATTATATCAATTGTGACACGTTTGAATAATGAATCAAAATTTATATTTGAGAATAGGATTAATTTAATACGAGATAAACAGAGAATTGATTATATTGAAATAAAATACAATTACTATTGATAGTATATCTCGCAAACAAAAACTGGATGTACATATATGTCTATTTTTGATCTTTACAAAAATAAAAAACGAAATTAATTATTAGTCTCTGGTAGGTAAGTAATTTTTACTATATGAAATCAACAGAGAATTGATCATATTGAAATAAAATACAATTACTATTGATAGTATATTTCGCAAACAAAACTGGATGTACATATTTTTGATCTTTACAAAAATAAAAAACGAAATTAATTATTAGTCTCTGGTAGTTAAGTAATTTTTGCTTCATCATTAATTTTATGCGACTGCATTTTTACGACCGGGAGTAATTCATTCATATTTTCGGCTCGCTCGTGGCCGAAGTGTTTCGTGCAGTCCGAGTTCTTTTCGTGGTGCGACTGCCTGCGGACGGTATGCGGTTACTCAAAGGTAAGAGGACCGTCTCTCTGACGAAGGATTCGAATTCTTGCACGAGAAAGGGCTTTACCACCGGCGACGACAAGGCTTTGAACCTTAGACGAGATGGTATTGCCCCCTGCTCCTCTCAAATTCGACGTTCTGATGAAAAATGAAAAGAGAGGCGTATGCATCCGTAGTTAGATGCCTCTCGTCGTATCTCGTAACCAAGTTATCGAACCACACTTTATCGCGACAAATATATAACGAGAAAGTACTGTAGTATATACTTTATCTCTGGAAAATTCACGAATCGAGAGCAGCCGTGACACGGTTTGGAGCTCTTACAGCTGACGACGGAATGCATTATTTATGCATTTCTGTTCGAAATATGTTAAAATAATACCGTTGCATTTTATTTGAAACATTCTCGACATTGGTCCTTTCTTATTAAAAAAATATTACGCGAGTTCGATATTAATTCAATAACGTTCGTCTTAAATTTCGTCTCACTTCTTATTATTGCGAAATTCCGAGACTCGCCGTGGCGGAATTTCCTCGCGAGGGAAAAATTCCTTGCGACATCGTCTCGCCAGAACCGCGGATCGCATTATCATCGACTGCGCTGTGAAAAATTACAGCGAACGACGCCTTCTCTTAGACGTCGCAACACGCGCGAATTCGCGCGAAACGATGGAGTAATAAATAATTTGCGGACCCGTCTCTCTCTCTCTTTCGCAGCCGCGTAACTTCTTCAATTTCCGTCTCCGACGTCAGAAGCGGAGAACATATTTTTTCCACCTCCTCCTCCCACGAAGACTCTTTCCGCCCGCGATCGCTTTTCCAAGACATGAGCGATCGAAAAGTCAGACCTTCCACCTGCGAGTCTCTGCTGCACTTCTCCTCCGATATATTCTACTATCTTCCTCCCGAT